ATTTTTTTTAATGGAAACATCTTTTAATGTTGAAAATTTATTTTTAATTGACACATGATTATACATATTTATGGGATATAGTGTGAAGTTTGATATATATTTATAATGTGTAATAATGAAATTCATATAATCAGCATATCTATCACCTCAGACATTTATCATTTCTTTGTGATGAGAACATTAAATATTTCTAGCTATTTTGAAATCCATATTATATTATTGTTAACCCTACTGTGTAATGAATTATTTTATACTTTCATTCTTAGCTTTTATTTTATTCTGTTAAAGGTTTAATTAGATATTATCTCTGTTATTTTTTAAAATTACTTTTTATATAAAATATTTTCAGTCTTTTGCCTTTCTCATATATACCCTGCAAGCCAGAAATTTCCATGTAAGCACTGCTTTAGCTGTATCCTACAAGTTTAATATGTAGTATTTCCCTTACTAGTTATAAATTTTCTATTATACATTTTGAACATATTTGGACCATGGGTCATTTAGAAGGATGTTCTTTAATTGAGGCATATAATTATTTTCTAGCTGTAAGAGTTAAAGAAAAAGGAAAGAAACATGAAAACTGGCTCAGCAGTCAAAAACAGGTTTATTTTAGAGCATAAACCTGAGAGGGGCTTCTGGCCAATTTTGATAAGGAGCGCTCTCTCTTACAGACTAGGAGTGCTCTGTCTTACAGACTAAGAGTTTTTATTGGTTTTAGGGTGAGAGAGCTTATCACAGGCTTGGAACGTTTCTGTATGGGGGAGAAGTTGGCAGGGTTGGAATGTCTGTGGTCGAATGGGAGGTTATCTTGGGGCTAACATCATTTTGGCTGGAGGGGAGGTATCTCGGGGATGGCCTATTTCTGGATAAGGAGAGGTTTTATCTTATAGTTGGAATGTTTCTGGTCAGAGATGTCATTTGTGGTTTACGGTCATGCTGACCTTAGCCATTAGGCTGATGCCCTTTGGATTTAGGCGATTTTTGATCAAGGTGAACGTTAAAATGGCAGTGCTTGTCCAAGATGGCAATGCTCCTTCTCTTTCAATCCAGCCCTATAGTTATAAAAAGGATGAGGGGCAGTGTGTTCTTTCTGGCTACTTCCTTTAGATGAGGGGTTGGAGAGTTTTCTGGTCTTGGAGTAATGCCATCTGTAGATATTTTGGGGTAGTTGTTTGTGAAATGGTCATGATCCTGTCAGTTAAAAACCTTTGAAAAAGGTTAAGTAGGCAGGGTAAGAACATTAGTCTTAGGCATATTATTAGGAGAGGGCCCAGGAATGGGATGACCCATGCTATTGTTTTGTTCCCAAACCAAGAATCTTTTTGGTTGTTTTGGTATTCCCTTAGCTTTTTAGCCTTTTCTTTAAGTTATTTAGCAGTGTTTCTTACTAGGCCCAACTGGTTGAGATAGAAACAACATTCCTCACCCAGTGAGAGGCAGAGATGCATGTTTGGAAAGGCCCATGTGTTATTTTCTGTTGGTAACTGTTATTCCTGCTGTGAGGATAATAATTAAGCAAAATGCTATAGTAATTGAGATTCTCTTTCTGATATTCCACCCTGAGCGTGCTACAGTTTACAGTCCTGCTGCAAATAGAGTGGGTAAAGCATTCCCCACAAAGGTGACATAGTAAATAATTTCCATTAAAAAGTTTTAATATTTGGCTTAAAAAGAGGGGTAGGAATGACAAAAAGTATTTGATGAGGTAGGGATATTAGAATTTAATATAAACAGTAGAAGATAATAAAAATTAAAAAACATTAGGCAACACTAGAATTTAGCAACAGGTATACTGTAGCTTTTCAAACATAATTTTCTTTCTCCAGTTTACCATTTTTTATTAAAAAACAAATCACAGTAGGACTGGTTTGCTTTATTTTACTTGGGTTTAATTATTTTCATATAGTGCAGCAAGAATAATTATTTGTTACATAGGTTTTTTTTTTTTTTTTTTTTTTTGAGATGGAGTCTTGCTCCATCCCCTTGGCTGGAGTGCAATTGAGTGATCTTGGCTCACTGCAACCTCCACTTCCTGGCTTCAAGCAATTCTCCTGCCTCAGCCTCCCAAGAAGCTGGCATTACAGACGCCTGCTATCATGCCTGGCCAAGTTTCGTATTTTTAGTAGAGACAGGGTTTCACTATGTTGGCCAGGCTGGTCTTGAACTCCTGACCTCAGGTCATCTTCCCGCCTTGGGCTCCCAAAGTGCTGGGATTACAGGCATAAACCACCGCACTGAGACATGGGCCTTTTAAATTGGCTTCGATGGAACTTTGTTTCATATATGGAATCTGAGATAAGACCATTTTAAAGCCAAGCCCAGCCATGGACTTGTATCATCAGATACCTGTGAGTTGGGTCAATTCCTCTCCTCTTGAGGTTCCAAGATAACTTGGTGTTCCCAGCCTGTCAGAAAGTGTCATTCTTTACTTACTAGGAGAATGGTTTTCCAAGGGCTTTATTGGCTTCATAAGTTTAATTCCTTAAAGGAAAGCATACCATTCCAGTCAAAGCCTTGGTAAAAATAACAAGTTTTTCCAATTATATCCTCTTACAAAAGAAAACTGGTTCTTACTGCACTTAAGCAAATCACTATATTGCCATAACTTAAGAAGACTCACAGATAGTTTCCAAATTCTGGAGAAAATCAGGTAGAGAAACAAGTACGCTCCAGATTTTGTCCATGAGAGTATATCAAGTTGTTAAAAGCTGTCAGTAGCTCAAAAGAAAAGTTTCTTTGACTCTTTGAAAAGCAAAACAAAGGATGAGCAATATTTTAAGCAAAACGTCAAAAAGATCACTCTAGTCTCCTGTTAGTTCAGTTCATGCAGTTAATTCTTGTCCTGCTGTTTATCAGAAACCTTCATTCAAGTGCACCTGTTAGAGCTTTATACCTGATTATAAAGCCACCTTCTAAAGAGGACTAAAATAAGACAAGAATTGTTTATGGATGACAAAAAGTTTTAGGGTAGCCAAAGTTAAAGACACAATTGACAAGGAAATCTGTTACTTTTGTGGCACACAATAATTTTAACATAACAATTATAATTATTACTGATAAAGTGTTACACTAAGATATATCAGAATTATAGGAGTCTCTCATAACTTTGAAACATATACCAATAACATATTTATACAAATATAGCCCAAAGAAAGCCAAACACCATTTTATATTTGACAATGCTTCCTATATGATTTTATACCAAATAAGCCAAGTTTTACCTTTATATTACTGTGCTATTAATGTTAAACTCAATTTTTAATAAAATCTTATAGGCACATATCCCTAATGTTAATGTTTGACCATAAGGTAAGATTTTTATAGACCTTTTTTTTTAAACCTTTTATAATTTTTGTTATAGAGCTGGTTACTGTTTTAAGAAAACCCATTGTGCTTTTACTTTAATGCTCAATTTTCAGAAAAACTGGATGATACCCCTTTAACTTGAGCCAATATGTTTATGCATAGAATTTCCTTTACAATTAACCTTTCAAAACTTGCTTAAACCTTCATTTTTATTTTATTCAACTTAATAAATATTCAACTCAAACCCATTCACTGGAGAGCAGCCCCAGCCTGAGCCTTGCAGTCTCCTTCAGGTTAGTTGTCCTCCTCACACAAATTGCTCAAAATGTGAAGTGAGAGACAAGATGGGGTGGGTGGCCAGGCTCTCAGGATCCAGCAGGATGAGCAGCTGCTATCCACTGCTTCCTGGTTTGCAAGACAGCCTCTACCCCGAACACCCATCCCAGGTTTTGGCACCAAATGTAAGAGTTAAAGAAAGATGAAGAAACATGAAAAGTGGCTCAAGAGTTAAAGATAGGCTTATTTTGGAGAATAAACATGAGAGGGAGGGACTTCTGGCTGATTTTGGTCAGGAGTGCTGTTGCTTACAGAGCATTTTTATTGGTTTGAGGGTGAGAGAGCTTATCACAGGCTTGGAATATTTCTGTGTGGGGGATAAGTTTACTGCGGAATTGGAATGTCCCTGGTCTGGAGGGGAGGCTATCTTGCGGCTGACATCTCTCCAGCTGCAGGGGAGCTTATCTCGGGGCTGGCATGTCTCTGATTGGGGAGGGGTTTATCTTATGGTTGGAATGTTTCTGGTTGGAGATGTCATTTGTGGTTTATGGTCATGCCGACCTGATGCCCTTTGGATTTAGGTAGTTTTTGATCAAGGTAAACCTTAAAATAGTGGTGCTTGTCCTATTGTCCTAAGATGGCAATGCTCTTGCTCGGTCACTAGCTCTTTGTATTTATGTAGCTTTCTTTTTAAATTCTGTAGTCCTTAAAAGACATATACTGTGCAATTCTTTTTTTTTTTTTTTGAGATGGAATTTTGCTTTGTTGCCCAGGCTAGAGTGCAGTGGTGTGATCTCGGCTCACTGCAACCTCTGTCTCCCAGTTTCAAGCAATTCTCCTGCCTCAGTCTCCAGAGTAGCTGGGATTACAGGTGCACACCACCATGCCTGGCTAATTTTTGCATTTTTAGTAGAGACAAGGTTTCACCATGTTGGTCATACTGGTCTTGAACTCCTGACCTCAGGTGATCCACCTGCCTCAGCCTGCCAAAGTGTTAGGATTACAGGTGTGAGCCACCATGCCTGGCTGCAAATCTTATTTTTAGGATTTGCTGATACTTCCATTATGCCCATGGATATTATGTATTTTGATATATGTCCTATGCACATTTGAACTTCATAACCATGCTGCTATTGTTGGGTGTTTTTACATGTGTGCATTAGGTTAATTTAATTAAAATTTCTTAAGTTTTCTATTTCTTTGTTGATTCTTTTTTAACTTGTTATATCAGTTACTGAAGCGTGTTATACCAACAAGTAGACTTTGAATTTTTCTATTTATCCTCTTATATCTCTTGCAGTTTCCTTTATATATTTTGAAGGTATTTGTTAAATACAAATTCCTGTTGAATTTCATTCTATGAAATATATCTTCTTTATTTTTGTTGCTGCTTCATCATTTCTGTTATTAATATGGTTTCTTTGGCTTCCTTTTGCTAATGTAAATTAGTAAAATGTTGCCAGTATTTTGGAGTAGAAGTTATTTCCTTCCAATTCAGATTTGGAATTTTTCCCTCTGGAGCATGTTGAGATCCAATTCTTGTTTGCATCTAGAGCTGATAAGGGGTGGTAGGAGTATATCTTGAGGAGTCTATGTATCCCATTGCAGGATAAGTTCCCAGCTGAGGTCATTATAAGGTCTCAAGCTAGAGGTGGCTAGACTTCTCAGACAGGAGAACTCTGGGCTCTTTCACTAGTAAAGGACACTCAGGGATATTTTGGAACTTTTTGATGTTCAAAATCATCCAAATTAACCTAGAATTCTCTATTTCAAGTCTCAAGGTTTTTCCTCTTCCCAATCAGTTTCTTCCCTTTCCCTTGACATAACTATGTATTCAACTTACATTGTGACTCTGCAATCATTCCAATTAAATTTTATTTTCAGTTAGCTTAGTCGTATGGCTGAAACAAAGGAGAGATTCTTTTAGGTTCACCATTATGAGCTCTCTGCACTGTGAATTTCAAGCCTTAGGCCTCATCATGCAAAATTTCCAGCATAATTAAATATATATAGCTATTTCACCTCTCAGTCTTTGAGGTACTCATAATTATCACAGCGGTCACTATATCCCCTTATACACTTGTGTCAATAGGGCAGTTCACTACAATCAACATTGAGTAGTAGCTAATTGTGATGTCACTACATGCCATTCGTCATTGGATTAGAATTCAGCAGTGTGTTTAAGACCAGTGTTGTGCCCAGATCAATCCCAGATTCCCATTTTATCTTTCTCTTTTGATATCACTCCTAGTACCAACTCTTGTGTCTGTCAATATCCTGTCCAGATAAGAAAAACCCACCAAGGAAAATCAATATAGGAAAATTTTAAAAAGTTATTAGAGGACTGAAAAATAAAAATCGAACACTGAGAGACCCAGAGGTAAGATTTGCTAGAAGGAACTACAGTATTATTAACTATATGCATATTATTGTAGAGCAGATCTCTAGAACTTTTTCATCTTGCATGACTGAAATTATATATTCATTGACTAGGAACTCCTCATTTCCCTAATCCCTCAGCACCTGGCAACTAATATTCTGTTTTTTTTTTCCTAGTAAGAGTTTTACTACTTTAGATACCTCTTCGGTGAAATTATTCTGTATTTGTCCTGTGACTGGCTTATTTCACTTAGTATAATATTCTCAATGCTTATCCATGGTGAAGCATATGACAGGATTTCCTTCTTTTTAATGACTGAATATTTCTTTGTACGTATATACGACCTGTTTTGGCCATTCGTCTGTTGGGAAGCATTTAGATTTTTTCCACCTTTTGGCTCTTGTAAATAATGTTGCCATGAACATGGGAGTGCAAAGATATGTTCAAGAGCCTGATTTGGATAATTTGGATAAACACCTAGAAGCGGGATCAGTAGATCATATGGTAGTTCTATGTTTATTTTTTTTAGGAACCTCTGTAGTGTTTTTTATAGCAGCCGTGCCATTTTACTTTCCCACCTCCAACATTGGAAGTCACATTTTTTTTTTAAGCATGAGGATTTTATATGATACTTGAGAAGGCTTCTATAAATATAAAATAAAACATAAAATTAATTTAGGATAAGATACATTGAATTTCTTTTTTTTTTTTGAGACAGGGTCTCATTCTCTTGCCCAGACTAGAGTGCGGTGGCCCAATTTTGGCTACTGCAACCTCTGCCTCCCAGGCTCAATTGATTCTTCTGCCTCAGCCTCCTAAGAAGCTGGGACTACAGCCGCCTGCCACCACACCTGGCTAATTTTTGTATTTTTAGTAGAGATGAGGTTTCACCATGTTGGCTAGGCTGGTCTCAAACTCCTGATCTCAGGTGATCCACCCACCTTGGCCTCCCAAAGTGCCAAAATTATAGGCGTGAGCCATCATGCCCAGCCTGAATGTTATTTTTTTCTAAGAGGTAGATTTGTTTGTTTTAATTTTAAGTTCTGGGATACATGTGCAGAATGTGCAGGTTTGTTACTTAGGTATACATGTGCCTTGGTGGTCTGCTGCACCTATCAACCCATCATCTAGGTTTTAAGACCCACATGCATTAGGTATTTGTCCTAATGCTCTCCCTCCCCTTGCTCCCCATCCCCTAACAGGTCCCGGTGTGTGATGTACCCCTCCCTGTGTCCATTTTTTCTAATTGTTCAACTCCCACTTATGAGTGAGAACATGCACTATTTGTTTTTTTGTTCCTATGTTAGTTTGCTGAGAACGGTGGCTTCCAGGTTCATCTATGTTTCTACAAAGGACATGAACTCATTCTTTTTTATGGCTGCATAGTATTCCATAGTATGGACACCTTAGCAATATTAAATCTTTCAGTTACATGATGATCTTTATTGATGTCTTACTGCATGTTCAGTGTTTTAAAAATATAAATTACAAACACTCTACAACCATACCCAGATTTACTTATTTTATCAGAAAAAAACTTGAGAAATTTGTAGATCAAATTAAGAGACAATAAGTGTACATTGTTGAATAAAAAATTTTTAAGTTTCTGAAAAAAAAAAAAAAAAAGAAAAACTAACTTGAACTACACTATAGACCATATGGACCTAGCAGACATACACAGAACATTCCACTCAAAACGTCAGAATATATATTCTTCCCAAGGGCACACAAAATATTCTCCAGGATAGTTCACATATTAGGTCATCTGACCACAGTGGAATGAGAGTAGCTATCAGTAGTATAATGAAATCCGGAAAATTCACAAATACACTCATTCATCACTTAGCAGTGGGGACAAGTTCTGAGAAATTTGTTGTTAGGTGATTTCGTCATTGTGCAGACATCATAGAGTGTACTTCTACAAACGTAAAATGGTATCACTGACTATATTGGGTAGCCTATTGCTCCTGTGCTACAAACCTGTACAGTATGCTACTGTACTGAATACTGTAGGCAACTGGAATACAGTGGTAAGTATTTATGTATATAAACATATTTAAACATAGAAATAGTAAACGTATGGCATAAAAGATTAAAAATGGTTCACTTGTTTAGGACAGTCATCATGAATGGAGCCTGCAGAACTGAGAGTTTCCCTGGGTAAGTCAATAAGTGGTGAGTAAATGTGAAGGCCTAGGACATAACTGTACACTACTGTAAACTTTATATGTGCACTTAGGCTATGATAAATTTATTTTTAAAAATTTCTTTCTTTAATAATAAATTAAGCTTAGCTTACTGTAACTTTTTTACTTTATACACTTTTAATTTTTTAAACTTCTGACTTTTGTAATAGCACTTAGCTAAAGCATAAAAACATTGTACAGCTGTACAAAAATTTTTATATCCTTATTCTATGAGCTTTTTTTCTTTTTAAAATTATGCATTTTTTCTTATTTTTTAAATTTTTTGTTAAAAACTAAGATACAAACACAAACATTATATTTTGGGTTCAATCACCTTTAAGTTTGGATATGTGCTTTAGAAATGACTTTTCTTCTTGTCAAGTAGCATTCTTACTAAAATTTTCCTTTGCTAAGTAAAAATATACAAGAGAAACAGAATAGTTGGAGTTTTGATTGATTTGATTCAAACTAAATCTGACTGGTTCAGGGTGGCATTATTTCTCCCCTATATACAAACAAAAAATAAGTCCCCAGCTTACATAGACTAATGTTTTCTAAAAGATCAGCAACAAATCAATGACACTACGTCCTTTAAGCCATTCTTCCGAATTCCTCTTTCTGAGGCAGAGAGAGGGAGTAATAGAAACAAAGCTAAGATTTAAACTATTTTCAGTAGTAGAAGACATTTAAGGCCAAAAAGTGCACTATTAACAGAATTCTTACGTTCCTAAGTTATAGTCCTTCATAAGCCACTGCCAGCTAAGAATTAGTTACTTGTACTGAATCCTTCTCAAAGAGAATTTTATAATTAACTCACTCTTGTTAGTGGCTGTGCTACAGGATAGGTATCAAAGCAACCTATGGTATATGTATGATATATAGTAATGTAAAAAGTGCATCACATTCTTGACTTTCAGCTTCTCATAGCAGCAGGAATCTAAGACAGAAAACGGTTGTATTTTCATTCTTAAAATGCAACGATATCTAATGAAATGTATTCAAGATCATGAAAGGATCCTCCTCTCTGAAGGATAAATGAAAATAATAATAGACAAACGGGTAAACTAAAGACATTCATTCATATTTACATATTAAAATCACTTGTGTTAACACCAAAGCTTTACATCTAGCAAAAGAAATTTTAAGAATAAAGCAGACATTACTAAAGCAGTATCCATTTTCACTCTTTGATTAACACCTGAGGAAAAAAAGATGTGCAGAAAGCTATATAATTTGTCTCAAGTTAGTTTGTTGATCTGAAGAGTACAATTTTGATATGTACTGAAAGTAAAACTAAATTGGAAAATAAATGCTTGTAACTTTTGATAAGGCTGTAGAAAAGGAATACTGGCTGGGCGCAGTGGCTCACACCTGTAATGCCAGCGCTTTGGGAGGCCGAGGTGGGCAGATTACCTGAGGTCAGAAGTTCAAGACCAGTCTGGCCAACATGGTGAAACCCTGTTCTCTACTAAAAATACAAAAAAATTATCCAAGCATGTGCCTGTAATCCCAGCTACTTGGGAGGCTGAGGCAGGGGAATTGCTTGACCCAGGGAGGTGGAGATTGCAGTGAGCTGAGATTGCACCACTGCACTCCAGCCTGGGTGACAGAGCGATACACAATCTCAAAAAAAGAAAAAAGAAAAAAGAAAAAGATAAAAGAAAAGGGATACTGCAGTATTATAAAATGGCTTTAGAACTCTGGACATAACAAAATTTTATGGATAGATAAGGAAGTCTGAATCAGCAATCCCATCACATATGAGGATAGCTGTTGTACAGTTTCTAGCCCATATCAAGTTATTTTTTAAAATTGATTTTCTGTCTGGATGTTCTATCCAATATTGAAAATAGGGATTGAAGTATCTTACTATTATTTTGTTGCTTTCTATTTCTCCCTTAAATTATGTCAATATTTGCTTTATATATTTGAGTTCTCCAACATTGAGTGCATATATTTCTAATTGTTATATTTTCCTGATAAATTGCACCCTTTATCATTATATAGTCTCACCGTTTGTCTCTTGTAACAGTTTGTCTTGCTTTTAGATGCATATTAAATTATTTTTACCACACACCAGGTATAGTCAAACCTGCTTTAGGAAGCTTCCGTCATTCTCTAACACAGATGCTCCAGGTGACTGCCCATTCGGTCGGACTCAAGGAAACTCTCTTTTCATGCAGCCATCTATCAGCCTGTTTATAGTTTTCTCTTCTCGATAGCATCATCTGCTGTGTCCTTGTCAAAACCTTTTCAGGCTTAGGTTTGTATATTTTCCCAAGCCTCTCATTTCTTGGGTGATTTCTTTCATCATTGTCAGTCAAATCTGGCAAAGGTCAGATTGTGTCCACTAAGCTCTGCAATGAGGAAACTTTTTTGTTTAACACATCCTAAGAGAGGATTCTCTAATTCTGCCTGGACATATGGAACAGTTCAGCCCCCCATACATTAGGGGAAACCTATGTATCCAGTTATTAATATAATCATGAAAAGAAATAAATCATCTAGTCATTAATATAATCATGAAAAGAATATGAAAAAGACTTTCTTAGAAAATGCACTTAATTGATCCTTATTTATTCACTTCTGATCCATTTCCTCACGACCATATCTCTAAAAAAGAAGATAGTAGATGGCAAAGATATAAGATTATCTCCCAGTTGTTCCAAACTCAGCTCCCCAAGTGTGTCATCAAGTCAGCTACTTTTAATATTGTATTGAATTTCACATCCACCTTTGTTTTATGCAGGTTTTAACGTAATTGAAATCATATTAAGGACACTAAGCTTTCTTTAGCCAAAAATATGAACACTTTACATCATTAACAAGATTTCTGCTATATTTTTCTACAAAATTATAGTTTGGTGATGTGGTAGAACCGTACATAAAAGAGCAGATAGTATACATAAATATTTGTATATGATGCTTATACAGAAGTTTACAGAATACTCATGATGCAAAGCAGAAGTTAAATTTAATCTGAACATTGAAGGATACTGTAATGTGGTTCAAGAATGAGGAAAGTTTAGATGGTTTAGATAAGGGTAGAGCATGAATAAAGTTCCTAAAGCAGAAGTGAGCATATGCTGTGTGTGGAGCTCATTGGATGGGGTTGAAGAGGCTGGCCTGACATTTGCATGAGGGAGAGGGACAGAAAAAGAAAACTGGATAGACGTGGTGGAGGCAGAGTCAATTGACTTTAAGAGCCTCTTGGTGTGGTCTGTAACTGAGAGGACCTTGCTAGTAAGCAGTTAGATCAAGAGCTTAATCTTCTGTGAGATCTACAGAGATTTGTTTCCTTTTACCATGTGAGGTGTCAATTCTTATATTTGTTTCTTGAGAGGGGCAATGCAGACCATTGATGACCATGGCCATGGAAGGGACTGTGGGCATAATTGTTCATTTTGCTGGTAAGCGATTCCTGTCCATTAAGGAGAAAAAGCTCTAGTGGCAAGATGGAAGCCTTGGGAGTATGTGAGAGTAAAGGAAGATAAATATTTTTAAGGTTAGTAAAGATTTAAGCATGTTCATATACTGGAGGTAAAGAGAAAGTAATGAAGGAAATGTTGAAGATAAATCTGATAGTAGTCAATCTTCAAGTAGTAGGTAGGACTATAGAATTCATAGCACAGATACAGGGGCTGTGAGCTGGAACTGGAGGAAGATACATCTTTCACTGAAATTGAATCCAAGAACCCAGGGAGAGTTAAGAATGACTGTAGCTACAGATAGGATTTTATTTTCAGCAAAGAAAGAGGGACAGAGTTTTGCCCTAAAATCTTTCATTTTCATTATTTGGCTACTGCTCTTCCAATGGATTTTGACTGTGACCCACAGTAAGAAATGTAGTTTAGTTTACGTTAAGACTCAGTGAGCATGAGAGTGTGCAGATATAAACAGATATGGAAAATTGAATATAAACTTTGGTTACAGTGTGTGAAGGTCTTACTAAGGATCTGTGTAAAACCCTCTGATATTTTTACGCAGTTGTATTTCATTTGGTTGTGACCCACTAAATTGATTTACAGTTTGTGACCTGAGTTTGAGAAACATAAAATTAGGCTGTGACTGTGAGTGAGTGGAAGGATCATAAGATAGGGTGTTGATGAGTTTTAAATTGTTACTGGAAGTAGAAGAAAGAGTTAATTACTGATTCAGAGGAATATTCTCACAGTGGTTAAAATCCTAGTAATATTAGAGGAAAGGTCTTCAGAATATACCAGTTCACAAATTTAATGGGAAGGCAGTGTTTCCTCAAGACTTGTCTCTGGAGTAATGCATTGATGGCATGGACTGGCCTATCACAGATTCTTTGGAATAAGCTTTTGTATTATAACCTCATCATATTTCTGACAATACTTAATATAGGTTTTATCTTCTTTATAAGGCTTTTTCTTTCATGATTCTCTCTCATTTCACCCATTTCCATCTTAATATTCCAAACTCTGTGACATATAACAAGGATATTATGAAGAGAGCTATGGAGAAGAAATCTAAATTGGGATTTCATCTCTATTAGAGATACTTTTCCTAAGAGGTCTCACCTAGTAGTCCTGATTTCCTCTTGTGGCTTCTGGTGGTCATCCGTTAGTTCTGGAAACCCACACGGAAGGATACAGGTTTTCTTGACATCATAATGCTAAGGATGTTGCACATGCTCATTTGTGCTCTTAGAATATTGAGGCCACTAGTATGTGTTAACAGCGTGTCTCCCAAGTTGTTTTAACATTTTGATTTCAAATATTGGGCAAATTATCAACAACATTTTTAAGTGAAAGTCAGGATCTGAGCAAAATTAGCTTTTACTTGAGCCAGAATTTGTTTTCAACACTAATAAGGTTTTAAAGTCTACTCAAATTGTGGTCTTCTGAACATTATAATGAACGGACTCTAGGCTTAAGCTCCCCTGTGTAGCTTTCTTTGGAACACTGAGGTTGAAATCGGTAGATCCAGGTAACTCACCAGCCATGTGAAAAATAGAATCAAATCTGTATTGACATGATCAGGAGGAGCCTCTTATGATAGAGATTATGATGCTAGTGGGCTGTGTGCACTGCCCCAAAACAGCTGCCCCACTCCCTGTTACCCCATCATATGCCTTCCTTTCTTGGAATTCCCAGGGCTTTCCTGCAGATAAGCATATATTATAAAATTAAAAAGTCTTGATTGGAGGAGGTCTTCCAATACTAATAAGCCCTTGTAGCGGGACTTTTTTGACTACCAATTTAGAGCAGAATGAGGTATACATAAAATATCTGGGATAGGAGATGGGAGATGGAGCAAACTATATTAAAGGAACAAAAAATGATGGGTTTTGGATGTGTGGTACACATGAATGTGCAGGTTGTCAGTAGGTTTTTGGTTGGAAGAAAGATTTGTGTCAGATGCCAATGTCTTTAAAATGAATAATTTTGCCTGGTATGACAGCTCAGGCCTGTAATCCCAGTACCTTGGGAGACCGAGACAAGACCACTTGAGTTTGAGACCGGTCTGGGTAACATAGCGAGACTCCATCACCACCAAAAAAAAAAAAAAAAAAAAAAAAAAAAAAAAAAAAAAAAAAGAAAGAAAAAGAAAAATTAGCTGGGCGTTATAGTGCAGGCCTGCAGGTCTAGCTACTTGGAGGCTAAAGTGGGAGGATTCCTTGAGTCCAGGAATTTAAGGCTGCAGTGTGCTATGGTTATGTCACTGCACTACAGCCTGGGCAACAGAGCAGTACTCCATCTGTAAAATAAATAAAATAAAATAAATACATTAAAATAACATGGAAAATGCCTTGCCATTTTACATGTTTAAAGAACAGTATACAGTGAATCTTTATGTATCTATCATGGAAGTTTGACAATAACTCAACTATGTTCAATCTGCCCCATCTGGAAATCTTATTGCCCATATGTATTAAGAGAATCCTTTGCATGTTATTGCTTCAAATATGGTCCAAATATAAGAATCACTTTGGCTTTTTTCTCTCTCTCCTCACTCTTTCCATCCCACCCACCCCATCCTGGCTCTTTCAGTTTTTATTTTCAGCACTGCAGCTCTGATGGTCCAGCTCCACCAGGACGCAGATTCCAGATCCTTAAAGGTCAGCCTAGCACCCTGAACAGCTCAGAGGGAGGAACCAGACCAGCAGTGCCTCATACCTTGTCATCGTCTGCTCTAGGCAGATGGCTCCATAATCACAGCTTCATGATGGCAATGGGTGAGCCTCTGGTGCACATCAGGGTCACTCTTCTGCTGCTTTGGTTTGGGGTGTTTTTGTCCATTTCTGGCCACTCTCAGGCCAGGCCCTCCCAGGGTTTCACTTCCTCAGAAGTGGTAATCCCTTTGAAGGTGATCAGCAGGGGCAGAGGTGCAAAGGCTCCTGGATGGCTCTCCTATAGCCTGCGGTTGGGGGGACAGAGATACACTGTCCACATGAGGGTAAAGAAGCTGTTGTTTGCCACACACCTCCCTGTGTTCACCTACACGGAGCAGCATGCCCTCCTCCAGGATCAGCCCTTCATCCAGGATGACTGCTACTACCATGGTTATGTGGAGGAGGTCCCCGAGTCCTTGGTTGCACTTAGTACCTGTTCTGGGGGATTTCTTGGAATGCTACAGATAAATGACCTTTTTTATGAAATCAAGCCAATTAGTGTTTCTGCCACTTTTGAACACCTAGTACATAAGATAGACAGTGATGATACACAGTTTCCACCTATGAGATGTGGGTTAACAGAAGAGAAAATAGCACGCCAATTGGAGTTGCAATTGTCATATAATTTCACTCTGAAGCAAAGTTCTTTTGTTGGCTGGTGGACCCATTGGCGGTTTGTTGAGCTGGCGGTGGTCGTGGATAATGGTCGATACCTTTTTTCTCAAAGTAATGCATCAATAGTGCAGCATGAAGTATTTAACATTATCAATATAGTGGATTCCTTCTATGATCCTTTGGAGGTTGATGTAATTTTGACTGGAATTGATATATGGACTTCATCAAATCCAGTTGCTACCAATGTAGACCTAGATAATGTTTTAGAAGAATTTGCTACTTGGAAGACTTATAACCTTAATAATCGACTACAATATGATGTTGCACATCTTTTCATAAAAGAGATGCAAGGCATAAAGCTTGGTGTTGCCTATGTTAAAGGAATATGCCATAATCTTTTTAATTGTGGAGTTGACGTTTTTGAAGACAACAGGTTGGTCATTTTTGCAATTACTTTGAGCCATGAGCTTGGTCATAATTTGGGTATGCGACACGACACTGAATGGTGTGTGTGTGAGCTACAGTGGTGCATAATGCATCCCTACAGACAGTTGACAACTAAATTTAGCAACTGCAGTTATGCCAATTATTGGGATAGTACTATCGGTAGGGGATTATGTATTTACCCTCCTCCATATCCAGGGAATATCATTAGACTGAAGTACTGTGGGAATCTAGTGGTTGAAGAAGGAGAGGAATGTGACTGTGGAACCACACAGCAGTGTGCAGAAGATCCCTGTTGTCTGTTAAACTGTACTCTAAGTCCTGGAGCTGCTTGTGCTTTTGGATTGTGTTGCAAAGACTGCAAATTTCTGCCACCAGGGACTTTATGTAGACAACAAGTTGGTGAATGTGACCTTCCAGAGTGGTGCAATGGGACATCCCATCAATGCCCAGATGATGTGTATGTGCAGGACGGGATCTCCTGTAATGTCAATGCCTTCTGCTATGAAAAGACATGTAATAACCATGATATACAATGTAAAGAGATTTTTGGCCAAGATGCAAGGAGCGCATCTCAGAGTTGCTACGAAGAAATCAACACCCAAGGAAACCGTTTTGGTCACTGTGGTATTGTAGGCACAACATACGTAAAATGTTGGCCCCCTGATATCATGTGTGGGAGGGTTCAGTGTGAAAATGTAGGAATCATTCCCAATCTGAGGGAGCATTCTACAGTGCAGCAGTTTCACCTCAATGACACCACTTGCTGGGGCACTGATTATCATTTAGGGATGTCTATACCTGATATTGGTCAGGTGAAAGATGGCACAGTATGTGGTCCAGAAAAGATCTGCATCCATAAGAAGTGTGCCAGTGTGGTTCGTCTGTCACAAGCCTGTCAGCCTCAGACCTGCAACATGAGGGGAGTCTGCAACAATAAACAACACTGTCACTGCAACCGTGAATGGGCACCTCCCTACTGCAAGGACAAAGGCTATGGAGGTAGTGCTGATAGTGGCCCACCTCCTAAGAACAACGTGGAAGGATTAAATGTGATGGGAAAGTTGGGTTACCTGTTATTATTGTTCCTTCTTCCTTTGATTCCTTTTTTATTATATTGCTTACTTGTGCTTTTTAAGAAACGTAAAAAAAGTAAAAAAGATGAAGAATAAGAGAAATGGGAAAAAGGAGACTACGCCTCATACTTCATTGTTGAATCTCCAATTTTTCTTTTAATAATAGAAAAATATGAAGGCATGTCTTACTGTTTAAACAAAACTTCATGGACATTTCATGTCAGGATCACAAGCATTAGATATCACAGCAAAGGATTCCTAGCATATTCTTACTTCTCTATGGTGTCTTAAGCAATATTAAAGGTTCATTTTCCCAGAAGTCATCTCTTTATGTTTCCTGAGAAAAGGCACAGAAGAGATAGTCTTGTACTGGTGTCCCTCAGTTCTAACCCTCCCCCTTTTTTTTTGTTTTTTGCTATACTATGTAATGTTCAGGTTGTGCCTACACACCTCATTTCTGTTTGGCATATTTAGCTATGCTAAAAGGGGGCAGTAGAAGTAGCCTGGAGTGATGATGAGGGAGAAGGGAGCTTTCTTTCCTGTGTGCTTACCATGAATGTCACCATTATTTTGGCTGGGGCCATTCGCTCTGGTAATCACATTTGGCTTCAGATTCCAGTTCTGTTGTCACTTTTAGAACCCCTCTCATTTTTCCTCAGAAACACCAGCAGCAGCCCTGGAGTGAGCAGGGCTGTGGTCCTCTGACTTCTTAAGGCAGCAGCAGCTGTTCACTGTGCTGTCTTTAGAGGCCTGGGTCCTTACTCTGCAGGAAATGTTCTTTAATCATCTCCACTCTAGTAAACCTAACTTCTTTTTTCTGCTCTCCTGGCCCTAGGAATGTTAGGTGCCTTCTGTAGCTACTTTGTTGTTGTAGGTTGAGTTCTCTGGAAGCAAACACTGGATTGGAGTTTCAAGTACAAGATTTTGTTAGGGACCAACAGCTGTGAAAAAAGTCAAGGAAGTGGGTTGTACAGATGAGATGTATAAGTACAGGCGTAACTTGGAATAATATAGGTTTAGTTCCAGACCACTGCAATAACAGGAAAATCACAATAAGGTGAGTCACACAAAATTTTGGTTCCCCAGCACATATAAAAGTTATATTTATGCTATACTGTAATCTATTAAGTAGTCAATAACATTATGTCCAAAAATGCAATGCCTTAATTAAAAACACTTTATCGCTAAGAAATACTAACAATCATCTGAGCCTTTAGTGAGTCATAATGTTTTTGCTGGTGGAGGGTCTTGCCTCATTGTTGATAGATGCCAACTCATTAGGGTGGTGGTTGCTGAAGGTTGGGGTGGCTGTGGCAATTTCTTAAAATAGGACAACAATTAAGTTTGCTACATTGATTGACTCTTCCTTTCACAAATATTTATCAAGTATGGGATGCTGTTTGATAAGGCTTTACCCACAGTAGAACTTCTTTCAAAACTTGAGCCAATCCTCTCAAATTTTGCCACTGCTTTATCAACTAAGTTTATGTAATATATTAAATCTTTCGTTGTCATTTCAACATTGTTGACAGTATCTTCACCGGGAATCAATTCCATTTCAGGAAACCATTTTCTTTGCTCATCTATAAGAAGCAACTCCTCATCCATTCAAGATTTATCATGACATCACAGCAATTCGGTCACATCCTCAGGCTCCACTTTTAATTCTAGTTCTCTTGCTATTTCTGCAACATCTACAGTTCTTTCCACCACTGAAGTCATCTGTGAAGGTTGGACTCAACATCTTCCAAACTCCTTTTAATGTTAATATTTTGACCTCCTCACATAAATCAGGAATGTTGTTAATGACACCTAGAATGGCAAATCCTTTCCAGAAAGTTGTCAATTGATTTGCCCAGATCCATCAGTGGAATTACTATCTATGGCAACTATAGCTTTATAAACTATATTTCTTAAATACAAAGACTTAAAAGTCAAAATTACCCCATCCATGGGTTGCAGAATGGATGCTGCATTAACAGGCATGAAAACAACATTAATCTCCTTGCACATCTCCATCAGAGATCTTGGGTGATCAGGTGTATTGTCAGGGAAGAATAATATTTGAAAAGATATCCTTTTTTTTTTTTTTTTTTTTCCCTGAGAAGTAGGTCTCAACAATAGGCTTAAAATATTCGGTAAACCATGCTGTGAACAGCTATGCTGTCACCAAGGCTTTGCTCTTTCATTGATGGAGCACAAGCAGAGTAGACTTAGCATCATCCTTAAGGGCCTTCAGATTTTTGGAATGGCAAAGGAGCATTGGTTTCAACTTAAATACACCACCTGCATTTGTCCATAACAAAACTGTCAGCCTGTCCTTTGAAGCTTTGAAGCCTTGAAGCCAGACATTGAATTCTCCTCTCTAGCTGTGAAAGTCCTAGTCTTCTTCCAACAGAAGGCTGTTTCATCTACATTGAAAATGTGTTGCTTGGTGCAGCCACCTTCATCAGTGATCTTAGCTAGATCTTCTGTATAACTTGCTGCAGCTTCTACATCAGTACTTGCTGCTTCATCTTGCAACTTTATGTTATGGCGATGGCTTTTTTCTTAACCCTCATGAACCAACCTGTGCTAGCTTCAAATTTTTCCTTGGCAGAGTTCTTACCTCTGTCCACCGTCATAGAATTGATGAAGATTAGGGCCTTGCTCTGGATTAGGCTTTGAGTTAAGGGAATGTTGTGGTTGGCTTAATCTTCTATTTAGACCACTCAAACATTCTGTGTATGAGCAGTAAGCTGTTTTGCTTTCTCATCATTTGTGTGTTCACTGGAGTAGCACTTTTAATTTTCTTCAAGAATGTGTCCTTTGCATTCACAACTTTGGCTGTTTGGTGCAAGAGGCCTAGCTTGGCTTTTGACATGCCTTTCTCATTAAGCTTAATCATTTTTAGTTTTTGATTTAAAGTGAGAAATGCAAGTCTCTTCCTTTCACTTGAACACATAAGCTATGGTAGGGTTATAAATTAATCGACCAAATTTCCATCTTATATATTAGGGAATAGGGAGGCCCAAGGAGAGGAAGAGAGATGAAGGAATGGTCAGTTGGTGGAGCAGTCAGAACGTACACATATTTTTTGCTTAAATTTGTCTTCTCATATAGTTGGGATTTGTGGCACCCCAAAACAATTATTATGGTAACATCAAGGATGACTGATCACAGATCACTGTAACAGATATAACAGTAATAATAATAATAAAGCTTGAAATATTGTGAGAATTACCAAAATGTGACAGAGACACAAAGCAAGCACATGCTGTTGAAAAAATGGTGCCAACAGATTTGCTCAACAAAAGATTGCCACAAACCTTCAATTTGTAAAACAAAACCAAAAAGAGTATCTGTGAAGCACAATACATTGAAGTGTGATAAAAATAAGGTATACTTGTATAACACAGCCTCAGCCAATGTGGCAGTGAACTCTGGACTGAATATTGCTTGACTGATTTGTCTGAGTTGGGTCAAAATGGTCTGGTCTTCATCCCTTCAGTGTGTTCATTCAGTGGATGTGGGAGAAGGGCATGAGCTTGGTAGGGTGCCTCTTTGTAACTGAGGCTGACCCCAAAGAGCTAACTCCTGGATGCTGTCTTCTGATTATAATTCCTGCAGATGGTCAGCAAGTCTTCTTGAAGGAGGATCCAAGAAACATATTCTTATATTCTACAGTCCAATATTTGCACTGCTCTGACCCACTTTTTGATATATGTTGTGGGAACGATGCCTCCAGGATTCTGGTGGACATCCCTTTCTGTGGGAAACCTTAGAAATGGGAAGTTAATGGGATAAACCATAGTCCCTCTGTGACATTTGGGATTGAGGCTGAAATGGATACTTATTGTCTCACTCCTCCACTGTCCTTTGGTTTCCTTAACTATGTGTTATGACCCAGGTCTTTATCTCCAAAAGATGTGAGCACTTGGTCATCATGCCCTTCTCAGGCTGTGATTGCTGAAACTGTCCATTTATACTCACCATTAGGCTGGGGAGTACTAATAGGCACCTCAGGAGATCACCTGGGTTCTACACATATACCCCTATATTTCCGTCTTAGGAGCCCTGCCTCCTCCTGATGATTAGGGTCAATCACCTCTGTCAAGAATGTGATTGTCTTCTTTTTGGTGCAAGGACACAGTGAGTTTCAGCTTATAATTTATTGGGACTCTTAACTGTGCCCTGGTGACCCATGTGGGCACCAGGACCTTTAAGCTGAAGAGTCCAGACTTGCAGGAGGCAACAAGCACAAATCACCCCAGTGAGTCACTGTGAATGGCAGTAAGTGGGATCACTCCTGTTTCCAGCCCTTGGTTCCTGGACCAATGTAAAGATCTGTAGTTCAGTGCATACAATTCATCCTGGGGAATGGTATCCTATTCCTGTAGTATATTGCCTCGCAATAAGTGCTTCAGCTTTAGCTCAGTTGCCCCATCAGTAGGCATTTCCAATGCTTTATTAGGCTGGCAGCTTCTAGAGTATGTTATCTGTTATACAGCGAGTATATACCATGTTCTTCGGCCCCCTTCCACAACTTCTTCACTGTAAAGTTGTACCTTGGTCTGATGATATTATATGGAAACAATAGACCAGTGGGTCAGATACACCAAATATTCCAAGATATCGGTGCTCACTGAGGCTCACTGCCTTACCTCAGTGTGATAAGGCAAATTCATATCAAGAATATGTGTCTATTACTGTAAGAATGAACCACTGACCCTTCCAGGATGCTAATGACCAATTATAGTCAATTTCCCTCCAAATGTTCTTCTAGGAATAATGCCAGATTAGGTGATCAGCTTGGTCTTTATTGTTTGTTTGCTGATGGCACGCCTCTGCTGCTCCAGAGGCATACACTGTGATTCTTTCTCTGGGGCTTACCACAAACTCCACTTAACATCTTTTTCTATCATAGATACTTTCAACATCATAGGGTCTACTAGAGAGTATGACCCTAGTGGAAGATTGTTTGTATCACAACCTGGTCCTGGTGCAGAGTTCTTTCCTTCTCTCATTTCCACTCAAAGATGACAGCATTATATGGTACCAAATATAAGGACCAGAGCAGTGGTCCTAGGTATCAAATTCGCTGCCTCCAGGAACCAAAGCAATCCCTAGGCATTGTCCTTCCTTCTTCATGGTAGGAAGTGCAGAAAGGAATAATTTGGCCTTTCTTTGGAAGGGATAACCCCGCGTATTCCTGACTCTTAGAAAACTAAAAATTTTACTGACACAGCATGTCCTTGATCACAATTTATTATTCTTCACAGAACTTATCTTCCATCCTCTGAGCTCATGTGTTTTACCAAAGTCTTCAACGTCATA